TTCTGTTAGAAGTTTTCATTCATAAATTTTACATATGATTATCATCATTGTGTGCCTTGTTTTTGTAATAGGTAGAAAATGAACAGCGGAAAAACTGTTCTACCTGATTCCTCGACTACGGTCCGCGAGTTCACCAAATGGACTGATGACATGGACTTTCGTTTATTAACTGTCATGCTTGACGAGGCTAGGTTGGGCAATCGGGGTGATGGGAGTTGGAAAACCCAAGCATACAAAAATATTGTTAAAGCCCTCCGACAGACTGGATTAACGGGTATCACGAAAAATAATGTTAAAAATAGACAAAAAAGCATGAAGGATAGATGGCGGGAGGTTCACGACTTGTTTAGTGGACTTAGTGGATTTGCGTGGGATGAGTCCACGAAACGGTTTATAGCTGAGCCTGAAGTATGGGATGACCTGCTGCAGGTAATGTTTTAACATTAGGGATTTATTGAATTAGTGAAACATAGTAATTATAGGTGATAATGATGGTTTTTATTTGCAGGCGAAGCCAGCTGCAGCTAAATGGAGAGTGTCTTCCATTAGGTACTATGACTTGATGGAAGAATTATGGGGAGTTGATCGGGCGACAGGCCATATGGCTAGGACTGCGCGACAAGCCCGTAGAAATATCGGTATGACAAGTGTAACGGTGGACTTGAACGATGATGTGGATGACATACCACAGGACGACCCTTTTCAGGCAGGGTTTGATACAGCATACCGGTCGCCACCACACTATGGTTCCTGTAGTCCTGTTGATGGTACTCAGTCAGTGCCATCTACTGCATCTGGTGGTACTACTGGAACATCGTCATCTCGAGGCACAAAAAGAAAAGCCCCAATGATTGATGTGATGGATGCACAATTTGACAGGCTAACTACGAGGCTCGATGCATTTACAGATTACCTTGGTCAAGGTAATGCGTTGACCCAAAGATTATCTGATATTGTTGAACAACAAGTGGTCGCCATTGAATGAAGAAACGAAATAATTAATGAGAAAGTTAATATCTTGAGGCGAACATCAACAGTTCAATATTCAGAATCAAATATTTGGGACATGTTAGTCGCTATGAACTTGCAAGACGAGCAAATTATGGTTCAGTGTTATGATTTTTTGTGTAATAATCTATCACATGTTAGGCGACTTTTTGGCTTACCCCCACATCTCCGCCTCAACCAATTATTAAAGTTCATGGGTCAAAGTGGTTGATTTGTGATTCGTAGTTATTGTATTTTTTTTATGCATTGTATGTAATGTTGTACTAATGGTTTAAACATTGTAAACTTGACCATAATGTTATAAAAGTATTTATTAATGGTCAAAGATACATTTTAATGCTATTACTTGCATTTATGTTTTATGGAATATGTCTTATGTTTAACATCATATTTGTTATTGGTTATTTTATATATAATTTTCAGGTATGACATCCGGTTCAAGAAAAAGAAGTTTAAAAGAAAGCAAAGGAAAAACTCCTGCCACCTCGGACAGCCCAGCTAGTCCTAGATTACCACAAATTGAAGAAGTTCTAAATCAGACACGTTTTTTCAGCCAGCGTGATCAGATGATTAAATTTGGCAAGGAGTTTTACCACAGGATAGTTCTTAATCCAAAGGTTATGGACTTTAGCTACTTTGCCACATCAGGGCTGTATTTTCACCACCATCTAGAATATCAAGGTTTGCAGCATTTTGTGGCTCTCAAATGTGAATTCTTTGAAGATCTTATTAAGGTCTTCTATTCCAACTTGACAGTATCTGAAGCTGGTTTCCTCTATAGTGACGTCAATAAAACAAAGATAAAAATAAAACCATCTGATTGGTTATCTCTGGTTGGTTTGAAGTATCAGGGGCACAAATTAGCATTTCCAAACATCCCAGAGGAGATGCAGTTCGACCGTCACATAGCACTCACATCTATGATTAGACTAGAGCTGCACGGTCGAAATGTCAGAAATGTAGGAAGTCTTAACATTAACGACAGACTCCTATATTATGTCTACGTCCATATATTGGCTCCCAGATCAAGTAACTTTTCCCAACTCTTGCAGGAAGACATTTTTCTATTATGGGCCTTAAAGAATAACATTTTGATCAACTGGCCCCATTATATCATGCAACACATGGTCAAATGCAAGGATAATGGGATGCCTCTTCCATACCCCATTTTAATTTCACACATTTTGGTTGCTTATGGCGTAGACTTATCAATTGATGTTGCAGTCCAATTAGGGTGGGCACATTTTTTTAATAAAAATACCTTGAAAAAATTAAATGTCGTGAATGTCAACGGGGTATGGATACATGGCAGGGATAATGATCATCATGGCCAAAATGTTGAAGATGAAGATCATGCAATGCCTGAGGACCATGCTGACGAGCAGCCTGCCGACATCACACAACAACCCGCAGTCCAGTATGATGGTCAAATGCTTTCCCAAATATGGACTGGCATTCAAGGGTTACAAGAAGGCATTCAAGGGTTACAAGAAGGATTAAATAATTTGACCATCAATGTTAACACACGTTTCGATCGAGTACATAACAAGCTTGATGACCTCGAGCAAAATTTTCATGACTTTCAACGTTCATTTGAATAAACTACATTATCTTATTTTCTTTTTCTATTATTGAAATTTAAATATGTTTTATTTAGTTGCAACATTTTTCATTTCTATTATTTTATGTCATATTTAATTATTGTTTACTTAATTGATGACTGAATTGTTTCTGTTCCATTTTACAAATATGTTATTACCCATAAGTAAAACATGTTTATAAAATTAAAATAATAACACTTTCATAAACATTAATAAAATAATGTTACAAAATATAATTATCATAATATATTTTGTTATTATTATTTATTATTATAAATATTATTGTTTTTATTTTTATTAATATTAATATTATTATTTATTATAATTAGTATCATTATTATTTATTATGATTCTTATTATTTTTCTAATATTTATTATTATTCTTATCATTATTTATTATTTTTTTAGTAAATAAACCCTATTAATATAATTTTATTGTAATTATTATTAATTACAATAAATAATATTATACTCATTTTTAATCCAAGGGTAAAAGTGTAAATTATATATTCATCTCTTAAATTTTTATTTTTTATCTATCATTAAATTTAAAGCAAATATTTAAATTAATTTATTTTTAAATTAATTTTTTATAATTTTTTTAGTTAAAATTTATATATTTATCTTTTAATTATAATAATTATAAAAAAAAATTAACCTAAGGGCAAAATAGTAATCTTTCACAACTATCAATTAAAAAATCTATTTTTATCTATCACATCAATCAATTCATTCACAAACTTTCACAAACTTTCTCTACACTTTCCACTCACTTTTCCTTAATCCAATCAACCTCACTTTCCATTCACTTTCTCTTCAAATCCCTCCTTTTCCACTCCCCCTTTTCCATCCTCAAATCCAATCAAAGCCTTAGAGAATCTACAATGAAAGTTATTTATAAGCAACTCTCGTCCACTTTAAATGGATTTCACATTGCCATGTCTTTCGTAAGCAATTTATATTACATTTTTATAATTTTTACTTCAATGAAAATTGCTCATAAGTACCTTCACTTTTTAATCACTCATATTTTATTTTCAAAAAATTTTAAAAAATTTAATTATTATAATTGTTGGCATCAGTAAATAAAAGAAATCTTAAATTATTTTTTTATTCTTAAGCAATCGTCTCTTATATAAGCAACGATGTTTAAATTTTAGCAATTTGTCTTGCTATGTCAGCATGCTTCAATACAGGTTTCTTATAAGCAATGAAAGCTTAACACTTAAAATCCAGATAAGAACCTAACATTAGAGATGCTCTTAGGAATAAATTTGTGTATAATTTTTTACCAAAAAATATTTAGATAAATTAACTCTATATTGTTGTCTAAATAATTAATTTTAAAAAATAAAATATAATCATTTAAATAATAGATTTTTACATAAAAATTTAATTATATAAATTATAATTTTTTTTTCTATTTCTTATTTAATTTCAATTTATTAAAAGAAGTACACTATTTTCTATCAATTCAATCATCGCATTGATTTCAACTTTTCTCCTCCCCAATCAAGCATTAAAGAATTTAACACTCAGTGATTTAAAAATCGGACCGAACCGGCCGTTCGGATCGGTTGGACCGGGAACCAGTGGTCCAGCCGGTCCGAATCTTAAGTTGGATCGGTTATGCAGTTGACCCGTTTCAAACCGGATTGAACCGGTCAATTTTCCGGTTCAACCGGTGAACCGGTGGGTCAAACCGGTTCAACCATTTTTTTTTCTTTTTTTTTTATAAAATTTTTTAAGGGACCATAAACCACAAAAAATAATAATGAAAATTGAATCTCTTAATAAAAAAGTAATGAGTCTTATTAAATATAACAATGACTACTTGTTCTAATGTATTTGTTTGCAATATATACAACTTAAATAACTTTTATAATATATTATTAATTTTAAATTATATATTTAATAATATAATATTTATGTAAATATTACATATATTATTTTGTGATATTAATTGTAAGCATATTATATATGTACATATTATTTATATTTTTAATTTGTATTAATATACCGTTTAACATGTAATTTTTTATGTATTTTTTACAAAATAAAAATAAAAATAATTTTAAATAAGATAGAAAAATTGAAATTTAAAATAAGATATGAATTTATTAAAATTTATAAGTATAAAATATATTTAATATGAATATTTTTTTAATAAAAATAAATAAAAATCGAATCATGCGATTCAACTAATAACCTACCGGTTTGACCTTTGACCCACTGACCCAGTACCTTAACCGATTCGATGACCGGTCTGGTTTTTAAAACTATGCTAACACTCAACAAGAATGAATTTTTTTTATTTTTTATTTTTATTTTTATATTTAAAGTAGAAAAAAGTAGTAAAAAATTAAACATGTGAAAGTAATTTCGGTGGAGCGGGAAGCAGGTATTGCATAAAAACACTCTGGTGGAGCGTGAAGCAAGTTCCTTGAGCAATGGAATTCGGGTGTTCGAACACGAGCGCGTGGAAGGAAGCGCTCTCTGCATACCCATCGCGACTACACTCTCTCTCCCTCGAAAAGAACAAACCCGATTTGGTTTCTCTCGACGACTTCTACCGCAACCACCTCCCTCCACTCCTCCACCGCCGAAACCCTAACCCCTTCATCACCACGCGCGAGCTCTCCGACCTCATGCGATGGAAACTCACGCGCGGCAAGTGGAGGTTAGTGCTTACTTGCCACTGTCTTGTCTTATTCGCTGCTGCGTTTATTTACTTGCGTTGGCGTTTTTCAGGCCGCGTCTCTTGGATTTCGTTTCCTCCCTAGACGACGCCGTTGTGAAATTCGCTTCTCAGAAGGCGTTTCAGAGCCTTCCCGATGTATCCAAAGCCGTTTCTGAGCTCACCGTCTTGAAAGGCGTCGGCCCCGCCACCGCCTCCGCCGTTCTCGCCGCTTTCGCCCCTCACTTAATCCCTTTCATGTCCGATCAGGTATTTGATTTACTCCTTTCAAATTTTGAATTAATTTTTGGCTTAATTACACTTTTGTTCTTCCTAATTTAGTGTAAGAGCAATTTTGGTCCTCATAATTTGAATTACTTAATTTTGGTCCATCAATTTAAATAATGGACAATTTTAGTTCCACAAATAATTTACCATCCAAAATTTAACAGACGTTAATGATATGAATTTTATGCTAAATAAACATTAATTATATATTATTTAATTTTTTATGTGTCAAATTATTTAATATTCAAATTTTAAAAATTTTAAATTTATTTATTTTATATTTCTCTTTTTTATATGTGTTAATGTTGCACAAAACGTCCAAGCAAAACGGCCTGTTTTGATCCATCGTCATGTGTGTATTTTTACATCCGGAACGACCCGTTCTAAAAGGAGAACGGGCCGTTCTGCAAGTTCTGCAAGAAGAACGGGCCGTTCTGAAAGGAGAACGAGCCGTTCTGGATCCTACACCATACCCAGATCCAAAACGCAAAAAAAAAATAAAAATTAACAGCTCATTATTCGATTTCCTGGGAACCGAATTATGAACGTAACAGTGAAAGGTACTACTTGGGTGAATAAATTGGTACATGTGCTTTTTTGATAAATTTTTTTAAAAAAAATTCTATTTTAGTGAAAAATTCTCACTGCGATTATCCTTTTCATTTTGTTTTCAATGTTATTTGAATTTAAAATTTGAATATTAAATAATTTGACACGTAAAAAATTAAATGATATATAATTAATGTTTATTTAGTATAAAATTCAGATCATTAACGTCTGTTAAATTTTGGATAGTAAATTATTTGTTGGACTAAAATTGTCCATTATTTACATTTATGGACCAAAATTAAGCAATTTAAATTATAAGGACCAAAATTATTCCTATACTAAATTAGGAGGACCAAAAGTACAATTAAGCCTTAATTTTTTTTTCTCGATATAGTTAAAATAGATTAAAATACTTTTTTAGTCCTATAATTTTATTTATTATATTTTTTAGTTTTTATAATTTAATATAAATATTTTTAATAATTTATTTTTTCAATTATATTTAGTCTTTTTAGAATTTTTAGACTTTATTTAGAGTAATTTTAATAAAATAAATATGATATTTTAAATACACAAAATTAAATTAATATTTTATGACATGGACATAAAATAGACATCATTAAAAAAATAAAAGAATTAAAAGCTTAGAAATATAGGGAATAAGAAAAATCTATCTAAACCATATAACGACTAAATATTACTAAAACAATAAATATAAGGACTGAAAATGTCTATGGTAAATTATAAGAATTATAAAATAAAATAAGTGAAACTATAGAAATTAAAAATATAGTTTAATATTAACAAATTTATTTTAGTTTCTCTATAGTGTTGCATTAATTGAATTTAATGTAATCTTTTCGACTACACTAATAAACGAGTTTTGTCCAATAAATATAAATATAGTAATACTAATAAATAAATATATTATTACTAGAGTAAATAATGTAGTGCCGCTCAGCATGTTTGGGAAAAGTTAATTTTTCCACTTTCAGCTATTTTTTCAAGAAAAAAAGAACTTTTTAAAAAGATTGTGTTTGGATTAACAGATTAAATTTGTACATACTTTTATTTTTTTGGAAAAATAAAGTTGTTTTTATAAGCTATAAATTTGAAACTTATGATTACTTTTCTAACAGTTTTTTTAAGCTGATTTACTATGTAAGAACTGATTTTTTTTATCTAAATGAAATTAAATATTTTAAAATCATTTTTCAACAAATTTAACCAAACTAAATTTTATTTTAATTATAATCGATTTATTGAAATAATCAATTATTCATATAATTAATTATAAATAATCAAATTTTTTCATAACTTTCCTGAACACACTCTAAATTTATGTGCAATATTATAATAATTATTTTACAAGTTATACTACTTATTATTTTTAATTAATTGATGTTGCAAAATTGTTTATAAGGAATTGCACTAGATAGAAATTGAACTCTTATTGTTACTATTGTCTTTTATTGGTATTATTGGGATGCACTACAGGCTATGGAGGCAGCTCTTGGAAACTCTAAGGATTATTCGCTGAAGCAATATCTAAAATTCACCGAGAAATTGCAAATGAAAGCGAAGGTATTCTATGCCTTTCATTCTTTCAATGTGAGAGGATTCATGCTTGTGTTTTACATTTTAATTTTGGAAGATAGGAATAGGTTGATTGCATGTAAATATTTCATTGATTTAAAGAATGGGATTGTTATGCTTATAAGTTAAAATAAGTACTCTTTCTTCTAATGGAGGCTATGATACATATTATCCGAGGTTTTAAATTGCGGTTCTTATTTCATTGTGATTTTTTATACTGTGAAAAATTATATACAAATGCATTTAATGCAACTGTAGTTGTAGTTGGGGACTTGTGGTTGTGGAGACTCTAGAAACTTTGATGTTACATTCGCATTGCTAACTGTTTTCTTTAGAACCTTGATATTATCACTCTTGTGGTTTTGATTTGGACATCCATTTATAGATGAAGTTATACGGTTGGAACTACAATTATAGATGAAGTTACTGTACCCTTATCATGTTAGGTATTGGGCTGTTAATTTGCAGGAACTGAGTTCAGAAGGGGAATCCTTTACCCCATCTGATGTAGAAAGAGCTTTATGGAGTTCTGCTATGGGGCAGTCATCAGCGCCCCAAGAAAATCAGGACCCTAAGACCAAACCAAACAGAAGCTCTAAGAGGAAGAGGAAAAATTGACATTAGCAGCAGAGCAAGCAACAAATGAAATTATAAGTAGAATCTGTTTTTTCTTGGTTCTGCTAGTTTTAGCCCCTCCTTATTTCAAGGGGTTCCTTCAATATTGGACAGTAGTAGTACTAATCACTAATCATGATCGGGTATTTTCATTTTAAGTTATGGCCAATTGAAAGTTTCTTGTTTTCTGCTAACACTCCTTTTCTTGAAAGTAGAACTTTGATGCTGGTACGACAGGGTAGATTAAGATTTTCTAAAATGTGCAAGCCAGAGTAGGATGTTAACAAAGAAAATAAATGGTCTAGATTCTTCTAAAAATACCACTAGATAATATAGCTTGTGTAAATTTGCTTGATCTTGTATCAGAAATGATTGCTATTTATATTTGACTTTCTAAAATTCGTCACATCTTTAGAGGATCTTGCCATAATATAGGCTGTCACTTATATTGAAATCATTATGTAGGATGCATAAAGATACTATTTTTTCACATGATGTTCATACCTTTACATATCTATTTACAATGTCATTTAATTACAAATATGTTGGAGATCAAGTCATATGACATCAAGGCTTTGTTAATATTGGAATCAGCTAAAAGAAGATAGCCAGCAGAGAGTAGCTATGTTAATATCGTTATTTGACCTTAACGAAAACAACGAATAGTCAACAATAATTCAATTGACTAAAACGTGCATACAAGTACACCATAGTCATTAATCGTTGCCAAAATGGAATGATCGTTTCTAAGTAAAAGGCTAAAATCCCATATCTAACAAACTTTGTAGTTCTCTCTTTCTCTCCTTCATGACCATGATCCTACCCTTAACAGCCCACAAGTACCGGCGAAGCCCCAAAACCCATCACCACCTAAGCCCCATTTCCGGCAAAGACGGCTCCGATGGCTCGTCGTTCTCTGGTGCGGTGTTTAACCTCTCAACGACCGTTGTCGGCGCCGGCATCATGGCTCTTCCGGCCGCCGTCAAGCAGCTGGGGCTAATTCCGGGTCTAGTCATGATTATACTATGTGCCATGTTAACCGAATCGTCCATCACCATGCTCGTGCGGTTCACACGTGCGTCCAAGTCCTCCACCTATTCCGGTGTTGTCCGTGACGCGTTCGGTGGCCTTGGTCGGAACCTCTTGTTGCTTTGCATCATCGTAAACAACGTGGGCATGCTCGTTGTCTACATGGTCATTATCGGTATTATAATTATCATTGTAAACTATACTTATAATTCGCATTGTCTTTTGCTTCATTGTTTTGTGAAATGAATCGTTTGAATTCTGCTTTTTTCTTCTTCCTTTTATTTGAAAATTTGGCGTTAAAGTTGATTTCAGAAACATTTGTAGCTTCGACGAGGTACATTTAACGGTTATACAGCCTGTTCCTACAAAAATGGAATAAAATCAGTTTCTTTGTCAAAGTATTTTTTTTAAAAGAACATTGTTTATGGGCCAAAAAAAAAGATTTTTAAAAAGAAAATAAAATCAATTTTTGGGTCAACTATCCACTTTAATGGATAGGCCCAAATTTCAACTTACCTATATGAAAGACATGCCCACGCTAAAGTTAGACAGTGGGCTCAAAATTAAATTGATGTAGGAAGGGATTGGGGCAGATTAGGGTAAAATAATTCATTAAAAAAATATCTCTTTAAAATAAAAAATTATTAAAAGTAGTAATTATTTTGCAATAAATGATTTATCCGTGTTTGAACTTTTTTGAAGTTGAAACAAAAAATATTGCTACTAAAATTGTTGTTTGTGACAGGTGATGTGTTCTCAGGAACGTGGTCAGAAGGAGTGCACTATTCAGGGGTTCTAGAAGAATGGTTTGGTCAACGTTGGTGGTCAACGCGCCCTATCTTATTGTTGCTCACAACATTTCTGGTATTGCTGCCTCTCGCATCATTCAGGCGTGTGGGTATGTCTCCTCCCCTCTCCCATTTCCTTATATCTTGTTTATATGAAATAAGTTGGAACTTTGGATTTGGATTTGTTCCAGTCACTTCGTTAGAATAAGAGAATGAATATGAATTTATAAATATATAATGTGATAAGAAAATAAGAAAATGAATATGTATTTACAAATACACAATGTGATGAGAAATTTTTTGAAAGACAACTAAAAGTAAAATTGAGGTATTAATCTTAAAGTGAACAATATTTTACTTATGTAGAAACATGCACAACATGTATAGAGGAGAATCTTTTTTATAAGATAAAAGGTTAAAAAACATGTTTCAGTATCACGAGTTAATGATGAAGTAAGAGTGCAAGTATTTAGGGCATGAATGACTTCTATGAACTATTATCATATATACTCACAAACTAACTTATGTTACAAAAGGATTTAGATATATTTGTGGATTAACTTTCCTTACAGGGATTAAATATAATCATAATCTTTTGTTTAAAAGAAAGATTATTAAAATACAATTAAAATTTCACGTCATTAGAACATGAGAGTAAACATAAGTTTATAAATACACAATGTCTTCATTAATAAGATGTTATTTGAGAGATGAAAAAAAATAAAATTATAAAAAATTAGATTTAAATAGACAATATCTCTCTTGTAGAAACATGTATCATCTGTGTAGAATGTAGAAACCTAATACTGAACATGAAAATAAAGATTAGACAATTCATATTTTATCTTGTTATAAATCAATTGTTACATTATCATTATTTTTGGGTGATCCAAATGATTTGCATCACCAAATAATAGTTTACATTCACGAGATAGTTACTGATTTTCCCTTCCCTTCCCTCCACCGTGTCAGATTCACTGAGATACACTTCAGCATTGTCAGTGGGGTTGGCCATTGTATTTGTGGTGATAACAGCAAGCATAGCAGTTGTTAAGTTCATCGATGGAAGCATCGGAATGCCACGCTTAATGGCAAAATTCACTGGCTTGGAGTCCTTTTGGAAGCTTTTCACAGCTATCCCTATATTAGTCTCTGCTTACATCTGTCATCATAATGGTAAGTGTCAGATAGGGTGGTAGATTCTTAATTCTGTTGCCAACTATTCACTCATTCAGTAAATAGTTATCAATCATTGCATTGCAATAAATTGAGTATAACAAAATCATTGTCATCGTAATTTAAGGAGTGTCAATCTACTTTACCTTGTCTTCAATGCACATCAGCTATTAATTACGAGAGCATATCAAAGAGAGAATTGTTTTTTTGTCTTATTGTGAGAATGAGAACTATAAATTTGGAACATACAGTAATAGTATATGAATAATCAAAATTAAAATTATAAATGCACATAACTACTTAGTAACTTTTAATCTTGTTCATTCATATATAGTTGTATCATCTATGATCCAGATCTTTAGTTCTCATTTTTCGCTTACTTGATAAACTTCCTTAACTATAGTCATCAAACTACAACCTAATCTGGTGTACAATACTAATCTTTTCTTTATCATGTTCTATCTGGTCATGAAAACTGAAAAGCTGAATTCCAAAGCTGTTTGAAGTTCAGTTTAATTGGGTATCTGATCTGAAGCTAAGTATATAGTGCAGTTGGTAATTAACAACTTGTTTGAATAAACTTCTTTGAGTTTTTTCATAAGTTAAAATTAACTTATGAATAAGTTAATTTGTAAGAGTTCTTAAATAACTTATTTAAAAATTACAAATTAGCTTATGCATAAACTAGTTAACTTATGAAAAAGTTTGTTTCATTTTTCTTTCTTATTTTTTTCTTCTAGAAATACTTTTGAAGAAATTTATTCAAACAAATTCCAGTTGCCTACTGTTAAGACAAGCAATGGGCAGCGGAAGCATAAAAC